GTGTGAACTTGAGGGAGAGAACTGGAGCTGGAGCTGAGGATTTGTCACAACAAGAGCAGAGGCGCTGGCTGCTGAGAATAACAAGCTGGAGAGCATTTTGCAGAGAGCTGACAGTGGGTTGGTCCCTTGGAGGCATTAGAGACGATCACAAGTTGCCAGTGTGAAGGCTGGGTGGGTGGCAGTGCCCGGGAAGGGGTACCTGGCACACAGGAGGTAGGTAGCTGGGCAAAGGCATGCTGTGATGTAGATCTTCCTGCCACATGTGCAGGGTTCTGTATCTACAACTTAAGTGTCTGAGGGCTGTGGCTAATGTCACTGAAGAACAGGATTTCATGTTTTACTTAATTAACACAGAGCTGTTTGTGGCTAGGATGGTGCCTATCTAGAAGGTGCCGCCTGAAGCTGGTCTCAATGTGGGGCACCTGGTTGGCCCTGAGAGGTGAGCAGGGATGCCAGCTTTCCAGCACTAGAACCCTGACGGTCCCCAGACAGCTGTGGTTGTCATTAATTTCCACTGGAGTTGCCACTGGCTTGGAGTTTCGAACTTAGTTGTTGTGTTTCTGAGATGACGGAGTTTGGTTTGCAAGCCGCCTCCTGGGCTGGCTGTGTCATGATTTGCAGCTTGTAAAGAAAACTCCTTTTCTCGGCATTAGGGGATCAGAAAATAGAAAACCAGCATGATTCTGGAAACACGTGCTCTGCCTGCGATGCTGCTCATTTTCTCCTCCATCTTCTTTTTCTTCCATTCTGTGCCTTTAAGTAGTAGATCCCCACTTTGGCTGCATGTTAGAATTACCTGGACAGTCGCTTGCTATACAGACGGGTGCCTGAGCTGCATCCCAGACAGGGGGAGGTAGAGTTTGGGGTGAGGAGGGCAGTGTGGAGGGGACCAAGGTCTGATTTTAGGTGTCCCTGGGGAGGTTTGAATGCACCTGCAGCCCCTTCTCACTCCCTTTAATGGGAGGAAGGAAGTAGCACCCCAAGCTTCACACATTTTTTTGTTTTAACCAGGGTGCTGCTGCTGTGCGGGCCATGTGAGAGCAAGAGCAAGCCTGAAACTGAAGGCACTAGGGAGGGGCCAGTGTCCTGTGATGGACACAGGATTCAGTGTCCTTTACTGCCTCTGTGATGATCACCATGGCTAGCGTTTATGTTTTTCATATGTTCGTTTATTTGAAAAATAGTGATGGAAGGACTGAGGGATGCAGCTGGCGGGAGAGAGTGATCTGTGTGCTGCTTTATTCCTTAGTCATTTAGGCCAGGTGGTAGCCAGGAGCCAGGAGCCAAAACTCCATCAGTCTCCCGCGTTGGGCCATCTTCTGCCTTCCCAGGTGCGTTAGCAGGAAGCTAGATTAGAAGCACAGCAGCTGGGACTTGAACAGGCACTCTGATACGCGTTCTAGACATCGCACATAGCAGCTTAATCCACTGTGTCATGACACTTACCCTAGCTAGCATGTATTAAACACTTAATTTACCTAAGAGCTCTTTTATGTATTAGTTGATTAACTGATTTTAAAATCTGCTTTTAGAAAATTGTGGTTTGTTTTTGTGGGGGGGCGGGAGGGCATCCTAACCTGCTAGATCACTTCCTGGATGCCTTCAGCGGCTGGGACTGGGCCAGGCTGAAACTGGGAGTAAGGAGCTCAGTGCAGGCTGCCCACCTGCGTGGCCGGGATCCAGCTACCTGAGCAATCACCTGTTGGCTCCCAGGGTGTGCATTAGTGTGAAGTCAGAGGTAGGAACTCAAGCTGGGCATTGGACCTGTGTGGGTGTGGGCCAATCTGAGTTGTTCCAGCCCCTCACTCACTCTTAGCAAGGCTGTGAGTATCCTGTTTTCCAGATGAGGAACCTGAGACAGAGATTAATATTCAGTTAATGCCAACGTTCCCTAGCTGGTAAGTGCTCATGCTGAAAGTAAGCTGTGTATTTTACTGCCCTGTGTGACTTAGAGGACAGTGTCATCCCAAGAAGTGAAGCTGAGTGTTGCTCATTGGTGGCAGGTGTGGATCAGTCATTGCTTCTCTGCAATGGATAGTTCAGGGTCCAGTCTGGCTGTGCAAGCTCGCTGTTTCAAATGTTCACTGTGGGACCGATATTGTGATATATTAAGTGAAGCCACTGCCTGTGGTGCTGGCATCCCATGTGCCAGTTCGAGTCCCAGCTGCTCCATTTCTGATACAGCTCCCTGCTAATGGTCTGGGAAAAGCAAGGGAGGATGACCCAAGTGGGAGACTCAGGTGAAGCTTCTGGCTTCAACCCGGTCCAGTGCAGCCACCTGGGGAGTGAACCTATGGATGAAAAGAAAAAAATTCATTTCTTGCTCTTTCTTTGTAAGTTTTTCAAATAAATAAATAAACAACCCTCCTTTTTTCCTAAGGAAGAAAAAAAAAAATCACTGTAATCCAGCTCTGAAACAAAAGTCTTTCTCTGCAACTCCTTACTGCTCCAAAATACAATGGATACAGTGTAGGTCACTGCTGATTTTCTAAGCTAGGGCTCCCAGTACACATCGGGACAGGTGTATGCATCTGTGTGTTTGTCTGGCTTTGAGGTAATAAAATGTTCTTTGTGTTCCATCCCCCAACGACCTTCTTCGTGCTGCCACGTGACTGAATTCTTTGCCTTTCCTTGTGCTTTATTTATTTTTAAGTTGCACATAGTCACATGCAAGCATATTTTCTGTGTTTTCCATTAAAATGTGATAGGTGAAGGGTTTTTAATGAATGCTTTTCATAAAGACCCCTGTAATTGGGAGTCTGCAGTGTTTCATCTGGGTTCCATTGGCCCTGTAATGGGCGAATAGTATCAGCATTTAAAAGGCTTCCAAGCCATTATCCCATGTTCTAAATAGAAAGAATTTCTTGATGTCAACATGAGATCATGGTTGTATAAGCCTTTACCATTTGTTTTGTATGTCGTAAAGTAGGTCACCAGTAATAGGGTGTTAAGTCCATTTTGATTTTTCAACTTCATCCACAGATACATTTTAAATATCAAGTCAACATAAATCACAGTCTTTCCCATATTTGTATATGATTTTTGAAGATGTATCAGAGCTAATAATAAGGTTTGGGACCATGACCATAGACTCTCTGATGGTGTAAATGGCATGGTTTTTAGAATCTCTTACTTCTTATTTCTTTTGAGTTAAAAGGGGCCATGTCTCATCGATTTTTTTCTCCAGGCCCAAGGACAAATTAGATTATACTCAGTGTTTGGGGTGGGGTGCTGATGTAGAAGGCTTCACTCTCTGTGCAGTCATAGTGTTCGTTGAAAATGATACGATGTTCAGAAGGGCTGCCTCTTTCCATGCCTTGTACAGCTGTTTTTCAGGCTGTTGCCTGGTGAAAGATGCTTTTAAGGTTTGTGAGTTCTGTAAGATCATGCACTAATTCCTATTCCAGAGCTCAGTGTGTACTGAGGAAACTTCTGGGCACCAGAAGCATAATCCTATAAACCTCATGTCAGTGTGAAGTAGCTTTGGAGGTTCTGGCCCTCCTCCCGCACACCCTTGACCATGGTGGCCTATTTTTGGGATAGTCTCTGACCTGTGGTTAAAATAGGACATTTCTAGAACACACAATCAGGTTCTCTTGTGTGTTCTTGAGGCTACTGGCTTCAGAGTTTTTTAGTTCTGTGCTTATATTATTCATAGGGATAGAAAGTTCTGCCCCCTTTTTTTGCTTTCTTTAAATTTTATTATTCTATTTGAAAGAACTACAGAGAGAGGGACACACACACAGGGAGATCTTCCATTTGTTGACTCACTGGCTGGCTGCTGGGGCTACACTGAGCCAATCCAAAGCTGGGTGTCAGAAACTTCTTCTGAGTCTCCCATGTTGGTGCAGGGGCCCAAGGTCTTAGGCCATTCTCCACTGCCTTCTCAGGGATTTAACAGAAGTTGGATCAGAAGTGGAACAGCTGGAACTTGAAACAGGTACCATATAGGATACCAGCACTGCAAGAGGAGGATTATCCAGTGCTGCACTGGCCCCTCTCTGTCCTTATTCCTTATTTTTTTAAATTATTATTTTTATCATTTCTTTAAAAAAATTTTATTTTGAATTTTGAATTTTATCGAGCAGTTCCATAGAGTCTGGGATTCTTTCTTTCCTTCTCTTTCCCTCCCTTCCCTCCTCCCTCCATTCATCCTTCCTTCCTTTTTTCTTTCGAGAAAAATTGAGTCTTTTGATATTCAGACCTGCTCGCTGGTGCCACCTAAGAGTACATTTGCTGCACCATTACTGATGGTGTCATTGTCTTTCTTCCAACTTAATTTGCTCGAAATTTCCTATTGTCTACCTTGATGATTCCAAGACACACACCGTGCTTTGGCTTGAAGGTGAAGTGGGGGGGTTGAGGTTACTTAATTTTTCTGGCAACAGATTTTTAAGTGGTCAAGATTTTTTCCTCCATGTAGTTGCAAAAGCGTGTAAGTTATTTGGAAACATTTCTGTTTTAGTGAAATGAGCCTGATTTCTGGTCATGGCTCAGTGACTGCTGGTCTTGTCTGCAGATAGACACACGTGCAAGCCACGACCCAAGCCCCTGGTTCTCTGTGTGACATCAAGCTTTGTAGGTCAGCCTCCTGTGTTTCCTACAGGCCGATTCTCTGAGCGAACCTCTAACTTGTTAGCACAGACCTGCGGTGCTGGGTGGGACTTTAGGGATCACACATCTGTGTCCACATGTTGAGAGGATGGAGCTGGTGGGGTGACTGAAACTGTCTTACCTCTCCAGGACTGTTGGAGCTTGCTGATGCAGCCTGGGGACAACTGAGTTCAGCTTGGGACCTGCTATGATCTCGCACCTGCTATGATCTCGATTTGTTCCTGACCCTTAGGATGCAGAAGTCCCCCTCCAGTAATCTCCTCCCCACTCTGCCCCCACCTGCTGAACTAGACTTGGTTTAGACTTGGTTTAGGTTGGTGGGGTGGTAGCCTGTGGCTACCTTCTTCTGTGTTCCTGCTGTAACGTTGCTTTGCTTTCTCTTCCAGCAATAGGCGAATATGAAGACCTCAGGGCTGAGAACCAGAAGACGAAAGAAAAGGTTTGTGCTTCCTCCCCTGGACCCCTTCCTTCCCCTAGGCAGCACAGTCATTGTTGAGCCACCAGGCTCAGCTCAGTGTGATTGAGGGTTGGATTTTCTCTGTTCTTCTTCTTTTTTTTTTCTTTATTCTTGGTATTTGCTTGAACCACACATACAAGCCTGGCTCCAGATGGTAAAGAATAGTAGGCCTGCCACAGTGGGTGCAGCCCTGGGGATGAACTCCACCGGCCAAAGTGTGGTGAGGCGCCAGGCGTAGAAGCTCAAGTCCCAGGAATGGTACTTGGGCCCAGTCCCAGGAATGGTACTTGGGCCCAGCTGTCGGAGTTGGGATTTTGGCAGAAGGTTAGAAAGCCTCAGGTGTCTCCCTTTGGGCCCCAAAACGGCTTGATCCTACAAAATTTAGTCGGTGGTGTTCAGCCCACCTGTTCCATCCGGCTTCTGTGGGTTTGTACTCTCCCTCTATGGTTGAGAAACACCCAGCTGGAAGATGGGAAGTCTGGTGGATATTTTCGGAGGCTCTGGCAGTTTTGTTTTTTTACTGGTGAATAATAGACTTCTACTTACTTTTGCCAGTTGTATCCTTTTGATCTCTGACAATGGCTATTTAAGATTTGTGACTCTGTCTGTGTGGGTATAATGTTTTTAACCTGTAAATTTAGGGAGGAGACAGACGGAAGGGCAAGCCAAGGTTAGTAAAGTAGAAAGAATAGAAACTGCACAATGGGGAAGCAGCAGCAGGAACGATGGATTTTTTTTTTATGTAAATATGAATGGAACTTAGTTTAAAATAGCTTTGACAGAGCAGACATTTCAAACATGTCCTTGGTGCAGACCTAAGGTGGCTGGTCCTCACTGCACTCCATCAGAAAGCCCAGTTTTTGAAAGTTTGGAATAGGAATTGTATGAAATTGACAGTGAGCTAAATATTTGTAAAACCTTTGTCATATCTGGGATTATGTATTGGGTTCTTAAAATCATATTTAGCATTTTCTCTTTTAATAGCCTCAGATCATTTTCTGCCTGGTTAAAAAAAAAAGTTATGTGTTTATTTTGAGAGGCAGACACGCAGAGAGGGAGGGCGGGAGAGAGCTCCTGTCTGCTGGTTTACTCTTCAGGTGCCTGCAATAGCTAGAGCTTGGGCAGGGTTGAAGCTACAAATTGTGAGCTCAGTCTATCTTCTCTCAGGGGTGGCATGAACCCAATTAATGGATCTGTTGCTTGCTGCCTCCCAGGGCCTACATTAACAACAGACTGGAGTCCAGAGCAGGAGCTGGGAATCAGACTCTGATGTGGAATAGTGTCTTTGTTACAGGACTAAGCAGTTGCTCCCCACCTGGCATTAAGGCTCCGTTGTAAATGGATCTCTGGTTCTTCTTTGAAATCTTGAGTTTCTTTTCTTCCCCTTATCAGATGATTCAAGAAGTAACAGGTGGGGTGCTGAGAATCTCCATAATAGAAGTCGACTGGTGCATGCATCCAAAATCTAATAAGATGGTCACTTTGGCAAGATTCTGACACCATAACCATCCCAAGTCCCAAATGTTGAGGATATCAACAGGTAGAGAGGCTGGGCTTAGGTTGTGCATTCCTGATAACCCATAAGTTAATAGCAAACCTACTGATGAGACTCAGCTTAAGCCCATTTCCCTACAGTACACACCCGCCCCTTATCTAGTCGTGAGAGGGAAAGAGACCGAGGTGGAGCGGATGAAGGGCTGGGTCTCCTCCTCATCTGCTCCTGGGCCAGGGAGGGTGGGAAGAGCAAAGCGAGTTGGAGGGATTCACTCTTTGACTTCACCTTGAAGGTAGGTGCAGGGAAAGCAACCAGATGTCTTCCTCTGGTAGAGAAGGAAAGTCAGTGATGTTAGGGGAAGAGAATTTCATCTTTCGTTTTCTCTGTTTAAAAAAATCTATTTATATTTATTGGAAAGGCAGAGTTAGAGAGAGGGAGAGACAGGCAGAGAGAGAAAGAGATATCTATTCGATGGCTCACTTCCCAAATGGCCACGACAATTGGAACTGGGCTGGTCTGAAGCCAGGAGCCAGGAGCTTCTCCTGGGGTTTCTACATGTGTACAGGGGTCCAAGGATTTGAGGCATCCTCTAATTCTGCATTTCCAGGTCATTGTCAGGGAACTGGATCAGAATGCAGAAGCCAGGACTCGAACCAGCGCCTTTTTGAGATGTTCATGCCATAGGCGAAGGCTTAACTTGCTGTGCCACGGTGCTGGCTGGTTTTTTCTTTCCTTCAATTCTCACGCATGTGTAGACCCAGCTGTGCCCCCCAGCCAGGTGGTGCCCCATCAGCATCTCCTGGTGATGGTGGCGATAGCTGTTTAACTGAGAGCCACTTTCTGCAGTGCAGTTTTAAGCAAACCATTTGGTATGCAAGTGGAATTATATGTGAAATGCATTCGGTAAAACAAGGATTGTAAATTACCCCAGCCCATTAACTGTTTATGTGTCCCTCTGCAGTGTACGGCCTAATACTTTTGTAACAGGCGTAAGCATTATTGACCTGCTTCTGTCCTAATTCTTTAAAAATAACTATTAACAGGAACAGACCGAGAAGAACTGAAAGCGACGTGGAATGCTGTGTGGTTGGGTAAAACAAAGTAGAGTGGTTTGAAGTTCACCGCACTCTGTTTATTTTCTGTTAAAAGACTAGCTTGCTTATTGCTGCCGATTTCTCTCCAAAGGAGGGGGGGTGACTCTATTACAAAGGAGGGAAACATATAATAAAAGCCTTTTATGCAGCATAGACTGAGTAAAAGCAGCAGCTTTAGTTCCGGAGGCAGTAAATGGAGAACACCATTTTCTCCGAGAAAGCCCTTTCTCGCTCGTGGCAGGGTGAACTTTGTCTTGTCCGTGCCCCTGGTGTGTCCACGGGGCTGTCTTCCCCCTCATGGCACCCCCACCAGCATTCCCTGAAGTCAGGCACAGGTGGCCATGGACCATGCTTCGGCCATGGTTGGGATGACTCGGGGAACTATTGCATGGTGTTGTGGGAGGACAAAGAAATACTTGGCCAGCTCTCTCTGCTGCCTGTCTGCATCCGGTCTGGCTCTGCGGCCAGCCTTGGACCTTCCCCAAGGGAGGGGCAGTAGATGTGGTCCTGTAAGTTGGGCTTTTTATTCCTGCCTCATGTGGAGTCTGTTGAGACTGAGCGGTCGAGCATGGTGTTCTTTGAACAAGGCAGTTGCTGAAGAAGCCGCAATGGCCACCCACATTCTTTTCACATGATGACTCCTGTTCCTGACGGCCCATGCCCGCCCATTTCACAGAAAAGAGAGCTGGGCCTCAGGATTGGAGGGAGTTTCCCACAGTGGCCTGGATGACTGGCAGTGGAGTCTGGAGTCCACTGGACACAGTGTGCTGTTGGAAATAGATAAACTGGCAGGAACTGATTGACTCATTTTCCACTAAGATCCCATTTTTTCCCCTTCCCATTAATTTTTTCTTACTATGAGTGCATGGGTTTTCCACAGCAAATGATGAGATTCAGTGCTTCCCTGGGTCATTCATTTGTGTTGAAGACTTGAAAGTTAAGTATATGCACTTGCTTATTTCTCATCCAACCAGGCCTTGAGGTTCTGACATCCTGTGTTCCAAGGATGAGACAAGGAGATTGGTGAGAGAGCTGGTGTGGGCCAGTGTTTAATTGACTTTTCCTTGGCAGTTCTTTTCTTTTTAGTAAAAATAGAACTTGTAAAAAATCAAGAACTTGATCCGAACTTCCCATGTGGTGTAAGAGCCCACACACTTGGGCCATCCTCTGCTACTTTCCTAGGTACATTAGTAAGGAGCTGAATTGTAAGTGGAGCAGTCAGGACTCCAGATGGGGCTGTAGGCGGTGGCTTAACCTGATGTGCCACAGCTTTGGCGTCTGTTTACGCTGTTGTTTTTTTTTTTTCTTTTTAATATTTTTATTAGAGGTATAGGTGACAAGAGGAATGAGTAACTCCCATCCACTACTGTACTCTCCAAATGCCCCCAGTGTCCCAGCCAGTCCAGGCTGAAGCTTAAAGCCTGGAAATCAGTCCCCATCTGCTTGTTCTTGAGGGCTAGAGACCCCCCATCACTTGAGCCATTGCCTGCTGCCTCCCAGAGCTTGCATTAGCAGGGAGCTGGAATCAGGAACTGGAGCTGGGACTCACCTTGGTGCTCCTTCTAGCGGAGACGCAGGTGGCGTCTCAACCAGCAGGCCTCTTTGTGATTTGTAGCCTCAACTTTGAGAATGGAACCAGAATCTCTTTGAGTTCACAAGGAAGGCTTATTTAAAAGGGAAGTGTTTTTGCTGAAGGCCTTGCTAGTACCAGGGTGTAATGGAAAATATATACAGGCCCTGTTTGTGAATAAAGCCAGTCCAATGAGGGACACAGACAAGCTGACAAATTAACCAGTTATGAGTGTTGAGAGCTTGTCAGTGGACAAAAGAGCAGACACACAAAGTGGCTCCTCTTTTCCGTGTGACAAACTTTTTGTCATCTTTAACGGTTGGCTGAAATGTCACTTTTTTTTCTCAGTCTCCCAACTCCCTAACAAGCATAATTAATTTTCGGAGGAAAACATCTGAATTTTTTCTTATGTACTTATATTATTATCAAAATATTACATAGAGTATAAGCAATGTGGGCAGAATCAGAGTGTAAGAAATTTGTGATCTGGCATTTAACATTAAGATAAATGGACATTTTCAAAAGAATTGTGGGTACTTTCTATTATTACCCATGTTCTTGATGGCATTATCAAGCTTGTAATGCGTAAAGCTGAGAGAGCCTGTGACATTGCACCCCGCGACTTTTCCAAGTGTGTTTTTTTTAATATGGAGAAATTGAGGACTGTCTATTTTAAAATCAACCAAATAAAATGTTTTGCTTTGCCTGTGTAACAGCCACCATATTCAAGTGTCAGTCATGCGCCCACAGTGGAGCGGCATTGTCCTGTGACTCACACAGGAGCTTTGTTGTCCAGACCCAGGGTTTGTTCCGACGTGGGGGG